GACATAGGTCGCCTACGTATCTCATTCTTGAGAATTCAGGTCAGACGTAGTTCATTACAAGAGGGATAAAATTTAAAATGACGCGATTACAAGCAAATAAAAGCGGTTACAAGGAAACGACAAAAAGTACAAACTGAAATTTCATACATAGTATCTCTTGACAGCATCTGAATTGATCGGTTTCAGCCATTCGGTGCCATCCATCTCCGACAGGACCAAGGCGCCTCCAGATAATACTTTGCAAACCATGTAGGGTCCTTGCCAATTTGGTGCAAATTCCCTTTATATTCATCCTGGTGAGGGAAAATACGTTTGAGAACCAATTGCCCAATCTCAAACATTTTAGCTCTTACTTTCTTGTGGAAAGCACGAATCATTCTCTGTCGATATAGTTGTCCACGACAAACAACAACCATTCTCTTCTCATCGATCAATGTTAACTGATCAATCCGCTTGCGAATCCATTCAGCATCACTCAATTCAGCTTCTTGGATGATTCTCAATGAAGGTATTTCAACTTCTGCAGGTATAACTGCTTCTGTTCCGTATACTAGCAAATATGGAGTAGCTCCAACTGATGTCCTGACAGTCGTTCGGTAACCCAATAAAGCATAAGGCAACATCTTGTGCCAACCTCTGCGATTATCAATTATTTTCCTCAAAATCTTTTTATGTTCTTGTTGACGGCTTCTACGGCTCCATTCATTTGGGGACGATAGGCGGTTGAGTTTCGGTGAGTAATCTTGAATTCTTCACATATCTCTTTCATCAAATGACTATTGAGATTCGCTCCATTATCTGTAATGATAGATTCTGGTACTCCAAATCTACATATCAAATTATTGCGAACAAAATCAGCTACAACTTTCTTGGTCACCGACTTATACGAAGCTGCTTCCACCCACTTGGTGGAGTAGTCAATAGCAACCAAAATGAATCTATGTCCGTTAGAGGCGACTGGCTCTATTGGACCAATGACATCCATGCCCCAAGCTACAAAAGGCCAAGGAGAACTCATAGCATTGAGTTCGTGAGGCGGCACTCAAATCAAATCACCATGCACCTGACACTTGTGACACTTCTGCACAAACTTGCAACAGTCATGTTCCATAGTCATCCAAAAATAGCCGGCTCGAAGGATCTTTCTTGCAAAAGTGAGTCCATTCATGTGAGTACCACAAACTCCGGCATGTATCTATTCCAGAAGCTTCGCAGCTTCACTAGCATCCACACATCTGAGAAGACCTAAATCTGGAGTCCTCCTATAAAGGATTTCCCCGCTTGCGAAGAAATTGAGGGCCATACGGCGTATCGACTTCTTCTGGTTGAACGTAGCATTCTCAGGATAAGTCCCGTCCTCTAAATACTTCTTGATGTCAAAATACCATGGCAAACCATCAGGTTCCGCTTCAACATGTGAACAATGGGCAGGCTGCTCTTTTACCTCTATATCCATTGGATCAATATAACTTGTATCTGGATGTTTGATCATTGAGGAGATGGTGGCAAGAGCATCGGCCAACTCATTCTGTGTCCTGGGAGTGTGTCTGAACTCAATCTTGCAAAATCTCTTGCACAACTTCTGTATATACTGCACATACGGTGTGATCTTTGGGTTCTTCACAGCCCATTCTCCTTGGACCTGATGAATCAGCAAATCTGAATCTCCAATAACCAACAACTCATGAACATTCATATCAATTACCATCTTCAGACTGAGGATGCAAGCTTCGTACTCAGCCATGTTATTCGTGCAATTAAATCGGAGTTTAGCCGCCATAGGATAGTGTTGACCTGATTCTGACACTAAAACTGCTCCGATACCTTTCCCTTGGTGATTTGCCGCTCCATCAAAGAATACTCTCCAACCAGGATATGCTTCAGAAATATCTTCACCCACAAACGCTACTTCTTCATCGGGAAAATAAGTCTTAAGCGGTTCATACTTTTCATCAACTGGATTTTCTGCAAGATGATCAGCCAAGGCTTGTGCTTTTATCGCCTTTTGTGTCACATACACAATATCAAACTCACTCAAAAGCATTTGCCATTTAGCCAACTTTCCAGTCGGCATTGCTTTCTGGAAAATATATTTCAATGGGTCCATCCTGGAAATAAGGTATGTAGTATAAGAAGACAAATAGTGTCTCAACTTTTGAGCGATCCAAGTCAAAGCACAACATGTTCTCTCCAAAAGAGTGTAACGAGCCTCATATGGAGTGAACTTCTTGCTTAAGTAATAAATGGCTCGCTCCTTCTTCCCAGTCTCATCATGTTGACCAAGCACGCATCCCAATGCGTTATCCGAGACAGACAAATATAGCAATAACGGACTCCCTTCTCGCGGAGGGACCAACACCGGCGGATTGGACAAATAGTTCTTGATGGCATCAAAAGCAGTTTGACATTCGCCGGTCCACTTGGTCGAGGCATCTTTTTTCAATAACTTAAAGATGGGCTCACACACCACGGTGGACTGAGCTATAAACCTGCTGATGTAGTTCAACCTTCCCAGAAAACTCATCACTTCTTTCTTGGTCTTCGGAGGAGGTAATTCCTGGATCGCCTTAATCTTGGAAGGGTCAAG